CAATTTACTACTTCAAACAAAGAGAACCAACTACACTAAACAAATATTAACATGATATAAATTGTAGTAATTCAATATAGTAGTTCAAATTATATTTTATTATAATTCGATTAAAATGATGTTACTGGTGATAAGATAATAAATATCTTATAGAAGTCTATATAAATTATAGGAATTTTTATATTCTTAATTAAGGATATAAGCGAAACGTTTTTATTTTTTCTATAGATTTATCATATGTTAATTTTTATAATGAAATAATATAAAATATTTTAAAACAATTTATAGATTGTTGAAAACTTATCATGGAAGAATGGAGTTCTAACCATATAAATCAAATTTTCACATCAATTAAGTACATAAGAGATAACTTCCTAGAACAGATGAACAAATATCATCACTTAAATTAACCTTTAAGATTTAACAAACTATAGTTTTTAAAATTACTTTTGAATATAAAACTTTTAGGTTTGAAATCGCCTTCAAATAGTGTGAATACATGAAAACCTTTTTTATTTTTAAAATTGTGTTAAAATAGTATGGGTAAATATGAAAATCTTGTAAATATTTATCTTTATTTCTTTTTGTTGCTTTATTATTTAAAAATTAAATTTACTTTTCTGTGAAAACTTTTAGTTGACTAAAACAAAAATTAATAATTTTATAAAATGAGAAAAAAATATTCAAAATGAGTATTTGCATATGCAAAAGTAGTCTAATTTACATTACATTTAAAATTTTAAAGGAGTAATGTGGTCAAGGGAATGTGGGTTCCACGTATATCAAGGAGGACACAATATGCATTTAAGAAATACAAACAATACAATAATTTTTTTCGAAATGACATATATGCCCTTGGTTGACCATCTTTCCTTTTCTATATAGTAGAAATATCATGGCTATTGTCACAACTTTCAATCAATGAGGGGCCTGTATAGTGGGTAGTCAGCCCAGGTCCACTATGAAAGCAAGCGGTTCACCCTTGTTGGGCCAAAGCCCATTAGGCTAACTGACCTAGTTTTGGTCAGAAGAATTAACCTAAATAGCCGCTCATTCAACTATTTAAAATAAAAATAGCTGGTGGAGGTATAATATTTGCATAATTTATGTATTATATGTGTATAATTCTATATAACTAATGTATAATCTATGTATGACTAGAAAAAGTAAACAATGAACATGATCGGATATTTATGTAAAGATTCCTTTAGGTTATTTAATGAAAAATAACCACTTCTAATCCAAAAATATTCTGTTTCTCCAGAACTGTTTCTACTTCTCCTCAAAAGCACTTTTTTTTTCTTCCAAAAATTTGACGGCTTGTCCAGTCACTCAACGGCAAAATGCCCCCTCTCTGTCTGCTTATTGATGGGGAACAAAAAGAAGAAACTAATGTCACACCTCCTTTTTCTACTACACCCCCGGAAGAGCATAATAAAGGGAGTTATTTCCAACTTGAAGTGACAATCGAAATGAGATTATTTATTAAGAGATTCAGAGTCGCCACTTGGGAGATTTATGGTGTCCCAAGTCACCGGATGAATCCCGAATCGAGGAAAAGAATGACTCTGTTTAACAGTCCGCGAACCAGAAATCCGAGTAAGGAATTCTGTTAACCCGGGAGAAGGTGTTAGGCATTTCCAGGTTCCGTGGTTCTAGCACGGTCGCTCAACTGTCATATCTGGCTTAGTTATCTGATTTTATACAATTATGAACCTATGTGCAAATTTTAACTTTAACCGCTTTTATTCATTTTTAAGAGAAAATTATAACGCTATTAAAACACGTCTCGAACCACGTCACATAAATGCACCCGTGGCTTTTGACATATTCTAACATCGTTGAGATTTGGATTTGGGTCACATAAATGTGCACCCGTATTTAAGAAGGTAATATTATTAACTAACGTGCCTAAAGTAATTCCGCATTTGCACTTTGCGAGGGCCCTGGGATTTGCTAAATGGCACGCCTCGAATTCTAATGTTGAGTTGAAAATTAATTAAAACGAGGGCCATGCAATTGTCATTTTTGTTCGGCATGGCGCACCTCGACTATTTAAAGAAGCTTAGTTAAAGAAAGGAAAACCTAAAAATTCACGAGGGGTTTTATTGAAGTTCAAACTAAAAGAAGGTAGCAATTAAACCGACGTCCATTTTTCATTCAAAGCTTAAGCCCATTTCTCTATTGTATCTTAATTGCTAGTGAGTCCAACTATTGTCTCAATCTTGGGCCCAAGAGAGCCCAGTGTCATGTTACAAACGTGAGGCCCAAACTAAAGAGAATGGATATCAGTATATGCAGGACTTTCAGGCCTAGTTTCCACGCATGCAAAAATCCGAAGTTATTTAATTAAGAGCCCTAATAGTATTAACTGGGCCACTGCCAGGCCCAATTCAGGCTGACCCTTTATTGTAAACAAATCACGATACCACATGATACCTAAGATGGAATTAACCTCTTGCTTATGAATCTCAATTATTCAAGCCTAGGATGACTCAATTATTCAGCAGAAAGTCCAATATACAATTGCTTGCACTTCAATTAAACAACCAGATGAAACATGAAATAATGCTAACCCTTTACTTCTGAATCCTGACTATCAATTTAATCATTTAGGAGCGACAACATAAATCTAATTTCAAACATAGTTTCATAATTAACACCAAAGTAAGCTAATGCTTCTGAGTTTCAGCTCATTAACTGAACATTCCAAATTGAAACAACTAATCTAAGCATGTTCATAATCGGCAACAAATGATCCAACACCTGCTTCTATTATTAGAGTACTCTGGACCAATTCCTTCCCCCTTTTACACAATTAACACAATTCTATTATACATTCTACCAAGCCAATATATAATTGCATGATTAATCTAACATAATTAACGGGTTACTATAACTAAGGTGAGCTGTTCAACAAACAAATCTCAACAACAGTTATATCACAAGGTTCCCAAGAGTGCATCTACCCTGAATTTAAACTCAGGTTAACATGCTATTTCAAGTCCCATAACAGTCCCCAAATTAAGTACAAGAATTCAAATTGCATCAGCCCAGACTAGAAATTAATTGCAAACAAACAATGAACTAAATCTATAAAGCACCATAAGACAAAATAATAAAGCTAGATTCATAACAGAAGCTGAAGACATGCTTTCGAACTTTTAGACTTTCATTTTTATTGCCCAGACCAATCTTCACATGAGATAGAATACAGAAGTGTACCTGGAAAGCAAAACAAAACAGAGAAATGAAGGATCAGTTATGACAGCAGCAGCTAGCCCAGATTCAACCAGTTAAACAGTAGATTCAGCTTAAGAAATCCGATGGAACAGTGCACTTTTAGCAAAACTTGAACCGGCAGCCTTTCAATTACCAAAAATCAATCCATTTCGCATTCAAATGAGTTAAAGTAATTTCAGGAGTTGAAATGAAATTGAGTATGTAATTCTCTTAGGTCTCTTGGGTCTCCTTCTAAGGCAAGAAAGGGTGCCTTTATAGGCAAGGCAAGTAGGGTAAAACAACAAGTTTCAGTTTTGCACTTTACCCCTTCTTGAACTTTTATTTTAACTAAGTTACCCTTAAATTCCTGCCTTGCTACCCAAGTAAGTGCTATTAGAACCAGAAATTACAATTCAAGCCCCACCTAGAAGCTTCTAGGGACTTCTTATTTCTGTTGCCAAAGATTCCATGATTCTAATTTACCTAAAATACCCTTAAATGACCCTGTTTTTACCTTGAAATTCATGGACCAAGCTGACCCAGTAATTGAAACAGTCCAAACATGGGTCAAGAATGATCCAACTCAAGGAAATCAGCCTACTCAAACTATGAACTGAGGATTTAAATGCGGCCCAGATTTAAAAGACACAAAAAAACTTAAGCTAATTTAATAAATCAAATAAACTAAAGAAAAAGCAGTTAACTCCTAGACTAATCAATCTAGTAAACTGGAACTACTAAAGTAGTGAACTAAATTATGGACTAACATTACTAATTAAAGAGAGATGCATAATTATTGAAACTAAAACACACAAACAAATTTGAACAAAATACTTTCGAATTCGACACGAGTTTTCTGGAAATTGAACGACCTAAAATAAAACTAAGATGAACACATGCTTCAAACAAGAAGAAAAGAAGAAGAAGACAGA